GCACTGGGTGCATTCTAGAGATAAACATAGAATTCATGAGGATTTTAAGCTTTTCAATTTGATGATAAATATGAAAATCCGATTCAAAGAAGTAGGGGCCATGCAGGTGTATCAATTATGTACAGAAAATCATTTCAACCAATTGTTAAAGAAATTCCTCATGGAGGAAATAGAATTATTTGGGTTTTATTCAAACTAGCAAAAGACTTCTGTTGTGTGTATACCTTCCAACAAGGGGCAATGGCTATTGAAGAGATGATTACCAAGCAATATTAGATTAGCTCTAAGAGATTATTCACAAATATGTTGACTCTCATTCAGTTATTCTTGGAGGAGATATGAATGCTTCGCTTCACCGTAACAGTACAATTACTAGATATATTGACTTTAAACTATTTGCTGATGAGCATAGTCTCTCTTTACCTAAACATTGTAAGAAACAAGATACATTTTATCTTCTTCAATGGGAAAGACTCCTTACAAATTGACTATTTTCTTCTAAATACAGATATTGTTACATCCTATTGTGTACTGACAAGAGAATCTGTGCGAAATAGTTACTGACACAGCAAGAGAGCTTGTCCCACTGAAATATAAATCTGGAGCTGGGCGACAAAAAAAGCAAAGAAAACAAATACTATATAGAGATGAAACAAATGAAAAAAAGAACTGATATCTGCTCAAAGACAGCTTGAAGCATCTAAGCGTCACGATAGTTATACCAACATAATGGAACTTAGGGAAACCGACCAGAAATAATTCTATAAGTCATAAAAAGAAATCAACTGGACCATAACTATGTGTCGACATCTATACTGAGATATAATGACAAGATCTTTAGTGACTATGTAGCTGAAACGTGGGCAGACTACTATTATTAAGAATAAGCCTTTCGGCCAGGTGAGCATAAAAAGGAAAGCATTGAAAACACAACTTGATGAAGATAACAAAAATCTTGCAACAGTCAGAGCCATGGACGAAACAGTGGTGGAGGCTTAGTAGTTTTCACACATGAGAACGAAACCTTACCACATTTTCTGGGCAGAAAGAGGACGGACATCCCATTGAGCAATTTATTAATGAAGTAGAAAATTTCCTAGTAAATCGACCAGGATCAAGTGAAAAAAAATAATTTCATTATTGGTAAACTGGAGGGACCAGCTAGGCAGGAACTTCGGTACCGTTCTCCTTCGTTAAATTAAAATCCAGATTAACGTAGCATTTTTTTGGTACTTTATAAGACGTCCATGGATAAATATCAATAATATCTGAATTACTATTAGTTTTGATTATGTTTTATAATAGTATTATATCCGTACCATTAATTTGGTTAAAGAACACACAACATTTCAGAGGTTAATGCAACAGAATGATTTCGTATTTTAGATACTCCTGATTTATCTTGACGACATAATTATATGCTCGCCAATGTAAGAAGATCATCTTTAACGTCTAATCAAAACATTCACTAGAATCAATAAGCACGTCCTGAAACTTAAAGGGAATAAGAAATATCATTTCTTCAAAGAGAAAGTTATATATCTTGGATAAGTTATCTCCACAAACCGAAAATAGCCAAAACCTACAACAGTAAAGTATTTTAGATTATACTTTGGATTTGCCAGCTCAAATTGCAAAACCGTTATACACTATGACTGTAATAAAACAACATTCAACTTGAGGTGTTTTCAGATGTCAATTTGCTTTTTATTTAAGAAGCTGGTGCTAATTTATCAGGCTTTATCAGGCTTAGATGCGGTATTATCACATTTAAATGTCTTTAAAAATCCAAACAAACTTACAATAAAATCTAACAAAGAAAACAAAGTTTTTGTGGTTGATAGTACAGTATAGTAAACATAATGACATATACACACCTTCCCGATTAAGGATGTTTGCTACTCTGTTTCAAAATAACAGGCTATTTAAAAGCCTGTTATAAATAATTGACAGTATATAAATAACAGAACTGAAAAAGCAGAAAAAATGAAGGGTCCGTGTCCTTGTTTTCGAGATATAAGCCATTTAACATTTGGCGGGAAATGATTCTCTCTAGATTTTTCATACATTTAACATTCGCACCTTTTTTCTTTCAAAAACGATAAAAAAAAACAAGGATTTTATGAGATTTTCAAATATGGCCTTTCATACTTTTTGTTATAAAATTATGAAAAGAAATGTAGGGATTAGAGGGCAAAATTTTTAAAGGCACTACATGGATAAAACCAGAGGATTCAGGATATCTGACAAATATTCAAAAACAAGAGAAGCGAACATTCTTAAGTACAACTTAAGAACAATATAATTACAAGGGTTATACAAAAGAAAATAACACTATTAAACGTCATGCGTCCGAATCTCACCTCTTAACCACTGGCACCAGGAAGGCCAATAGCCAAAAACCCGAAAGCTGGATTCACATATACCTAGCCACGTCAAGCTGGATTCACATATACCTAGCCACGTCAAGCTGGATTCACATATACCTAGCCACGTCAAGCTGGATTCACATATACCTAGCCACGTCAAGAGCCATACGACCAAAAGGAACATAATAGTACAACGACAAATAAAGAGAAAACAAAAAGTAAATACAAAGACACATAATGTCAGCACTTATAATCCATAACTCAAGACCATCATGTATTATTTGTGAAGTTGACACGGAAAATATATCTATTATGTTATATATTCCCTAATAGTCAACTTTCTCGTAATGGCGTCCGTAAAATTTATGAAAGGATGCATTCAACTTCAGCACTTGGAACTCTTGGATTGATAGCTTCCTTGTAAGCAGCAAACCTCTATCAAGGAAATCGTGATAGGAAATACAAGCTCTGGAATATCGTATCAAATAAGAGATATGTACTCCATATGCAGGCGATGCTGGAATGTTGCTACAAAGAAATGGAAAGTTCACAATTGGGAAGCTGAAATCATCTATGTTGTCGCAAAGTTTGTTCTCAATCAACCCTCGTAGTCATTTTCTATATGTGATTCTAGATATGAGGAGACAGACTTAACTGTATCTGTTGTATCCTATATTTAAAATTCGATGGGATAAATGCGTTGCACAGTCACCAAACTTTGAATAATTTATTGAGAGAACATCATCTATATAGCGGAACGTGAAATTAAAGGATAATGCTTCCTAAGAAGCTCTTTTTATGAAGCTAGCTTCAAATGAATAAAGGAACAAGTCGGCAAGACGAGAAGCACAGTTGGTTCCAATGGGCATGCCGATTGTTTGTTGAAAAACACGTCCTCCAAACGTATAGAAGTTGTAAAACAACAAAGAGTTTTTGATGCTCTAGATGAGCATTTGGAAACAAAGCAACAAAAAGAACTGCTTGTGATAAAATATGTGCACACGAAACAATATGTATAGAGTTTAAATAACAATATAAATAATAGACAAGAGTACACACGTCGAAATGTCTCGCCTGTTTTACTTATCATTTAATTCATGTTGAAAGTCTAATATGAAGGTTTTACTACAGTCTACAAGTATCACATAAACTTAACATTGTCAATGTTCTATGAAAATGAGGTCGAGGTAAGATGAACCATGCCAGACGGACATGTACATCTTACAATCATTCCATACACCAAATATAATGGTCCTATTGCTAATAGTACTAGTACATGAAAAACAGATCAAACCACAAAATATTAAAATTGACCAATGAACATTGAAAATGAGGTCAAGGTCATATAAACCCTACCAGACAGACATGTACACCTTCCAATCATTTCATACACCAAATATAGTTGACCTATTGCCTATAGTACCTGATAAACTGACAAAATTACGAAAACTTATCATTGACCAATGAACCATGATAATGCGGTCAAGGTCATATGACCCCTGCCAGACAGACACGTACACCTCACAATTGTTCCATATACTACATATAATTGAACTATTGCTTACAATATCTGAGAAATACACCAAACCACAAAAACTTAAAATTGTCCAATGAACCATGAAAATGAGGTCGAGGTCAGATAAAACCTGCCAGACGGGCATGTAACCTGACAATCATTCCATACACCAAATATAGTGGCCCTAGTGCTTATAGTATCGGAGAAATAAAACAAACAACAAAAACTAAACATTGTCCAATGAACCATGCAATTGAGGTCAAGGTCAGATGAAACTTGTCAATCGGACATATACACCTTACAATCATTCCATACACCAAATATAGTTGACATATTGCTTATAGTATCTGAGATACTGACTTAACCACGTAACTTTAACCTTGATCAATGATCCATGGAATAAGGTCGAGGTCAGGTGAACCCTACCTGACGGACATGTAGACGTTGTAAGAAATCAATATACCAAACATTGTTACCCTATTACTCATAATAAGTGAGTATTTCACCGAACAAAAAACTGTATTTTTTTCAAGCAGTCACTGAACCATGAAAATGAGGTCAGAGACAATGGACATATGACAGACAGAAACTTCGTAACATAAGGTATCGGCACACAAGGTATGAAGCATCCAGGTCTTCTACTTTCTGAAATATAAAGCTTTAAACAAATAGTTTATGACGTCGCTGCCGCCGGATTGTAATACCTATGTCTCGCATACTGCGATTCGACATAAAACATATGAGATTGTTGAGTAGACAGATCATTGAATGAATGAATGATGTTTGCATAACGAACGACTGAGGTCGAGAACAAATTTTCAATAAAAATGATATTTTGAAAATTAAACCTCTAGTCTAAAAGCATTCTATATCTTTTGTACATTGCATTGACAAAGGACAGACGGACGGACGGATTAAAGAATAATGGTATGACGGGCGTATGAAAATAAAAAAAAACCAAAATACAAGTGACTTCTACATTTCATGACGAAGTTTCAGTTACGTATTTCAGTTAGGTATACTTTCTTTAAACGGGGAAGTACATAATTTGAAATGACGTTACTTGTTTTTATATATATAGAAATAAAAATTTCCTTTTTCCTTATAACGTGAATGACTAACAACAATTTATAGATATATCAAGAAGTTAAAATGTACGTTAGGAAGAACTACTTGAAAAATCCATCTATCTATTAAGATATGAAACCTGTATTAACAATTCGAATTCTTCCTTACATTTGGACTTGATTTATGCATGCATCCCGTATTGACGAGGAAAAGCATATAGATTAGACGCCTCCAGTACTGATGAGGAAAACATATATAGATTAGACAAACTACAAAATAAACTTCCCGAAATTTGTTTGTATTAATTACAGTAAAGTACCCGTTATTAATCATTTATTGGTGAAGTATGTCACAGTGGATGTGTGATGGGTGTACCTTTTTGAATGAACATTGGAGAAATAAGTGTAAGGTGTGTAAGAGTTTAAAGAGCAACGAAGATTATGGCGCCTCTGGTGGTGGAAACGAATCTGAAGGCAGACCAGGATCGTGCAAAAAGAAAAGTAAACTTCAATTATTTATTTTAATTTAATTCGGACACCTTAAATCAAATTATTCAATAATGATATTTTAAACATTGACACAAATAAGAAGAACAAATGTGTAGAATATAGATGAAATATGAAGGAACACAGTTTACTTAATAGTTATTAAAAAAAGAATTTAAAAGTTAAAAGGAAAAATTTGACAATGCTTACAGTGATATTTGTATCGGTTATATGAAAAATACATCTGATAGTGTTTGATATGTACATGTTGTTATATGACTTGTATAGAAAACGAGTATCATTTTGTATTAGTATGTCCTGCCTTTAGATCTCTGAGGCTACAGTTTAATGCCTTGATATTATTGTTCATGGCCAAATAATAGAAAGCTTGTATTTCTTTTGCAAGCTAGCTCAAAGATCTTAACCGAAAATTGTGTAAATTTCTTAATGCGGCATGGAAGTTAAGATTACAAATTATAGTTGCATAACAGTTGTAGTTCTGTGCTTGCTGTGACTTTATCGTGTTGTTTTCTGTTTACTGTCATTATAGACATTATATGTTATGTTATTTTTCTATAGCATTATGTTTTCTTCTGTATTAAAATATTCACTCATTCATTCATTTGATAGTCTTCGTTTAATTTTATCTGAACTTTTATATGTTCGGGACAATTCAGTTCTTGAAATATTGTATATAAACACATGTCTAGATATATTTTGGTTATTCTTAAAATTAATTTAAATTGATGTTTCATTGTCGCATATATCACATCCCTTAAAATTATCTAAGACGAAGGTCTGTATTAAATATAACTTATATTCAGATATTTGTAAACGTCGATTTTTCAACTATTACAGATTGGACTTGCCCTCAATGTACATTTATTAACCAAACAATGAGTAACAGATGTGGAGCGTGCCGTAAAACGTCTGAAGGATGTGACCCAGTGAAGAAAAGATATAGCAACAAAACTTGTAAGTGTAATTTCGAGTATAGGTAGGAATAAAGAAATCGCATTCAGGACAACTATGGCATTAAAATAAATGTCAATGCTAGTTCCACATACAAACTAAAAACTTGATATAATAAGTAAATGCTTTCTTTTTGTAATTTTATGCTATTATAAAAGCGTTGATCGTGCGCACATTTTGAATATGAAGCTCTGTCGCGCTTCATACAAAATGTGCTTTTATGCACCTGTCCTAAATCAGGAGCCTGTTGTTCAGTGATTGTCGTTTGTTGGTGTGGTTCATAAGTGTTTCTCGTTTCTCTTTTTTTATATAGATTAGACCGTTGGTTTTCCTGTTTGAATTGTTTTACACTAGTCTTTTTGGTGCCCTTTATAGCTTGCTGTTCGGTGTGAGCCAAGGCTCCGTGTTGAAGGCAGTACTTTGACCTATAATTGTTTACTTTTTACACATTGTGACTTGGATGGATAGTTGTCTCATTGGCACTCATACCACATCTTCTTATTTATATTTGGTCATCGCTTTTACAACCTAATGTAATTACAAACAAGAAGCATTGAATTCTTATAATACCATTTATATTCTCCAATCAGAATATTGTAGGTAGTATTCAATACAGTTTACAATTGTTGACGGTTGCCTGGAATGTGGGCTAATCACAGTGATCCGTCTTAACGTGATGCTTCGGTAGTGTTCTGTGTCAACTGTTTCAATAAGGGCAAACTGTTATTCAAGTGGAATGTACTTTGCCATGGAAACTCGGTGCATGCTGATTTTTGCTTTTTAAGAGTATCTGTATGAAGTCGGGAAATTGACAACCGCATTCATCGGACCAATTATTTCAAACATTATAAAAAACTTTAATCATTGTAAATTACATTACACAATTTCGTTGTACTAGTAGTCAGTTAAGTTATAAAAACAATGAAGTCCCCATGATACAACTAAATTCTTGATTTATTGCAGAAGACACTTTAACTTCAAAATAAAATTACTTTCAATGGTTTACGTCAATGTGACAGCATCCAACCAATAAAGCAAACCAAAAAGGACATCCGTTATACAATAAAGACATTACAAATGTCGTTTGATAGTTCTCAAAAACTGGTTATCATGAATAAATTACAACTTTTATAGTTGTCATTCCTTTTAAACTGCTAAATAATTCCATTGATGTTGGGAGCATTAAACTCAACAAAGTACTAGAGCAAATCATATTTAAAACCTGTTTTCAATTATAGTACTGAATTTTCAATAAAAACAAAGGCCTTGCCTGAAATAGAATATCTAACTTTTTCAAATTTTTATATGTAAAATTGAGAATGGGAATGGGGAATGTGTCAAAGAGACAACAACCCGACCATAGAGCAGACAACAGCCGAAGTCCACCAATGGGTCTTCAATGCAGCGAGAAACTCCCGCATCAGGAGGCGTCCTTCAGCTGGCCCCTAAACAAATATGTATACTAGTTCAGTATACTCCAAATTATACACAAGAAACTAAAATAAAAAATGATACAAGACTTACAAAGGCCAGAGGCTCCTGACTTGGGACAGGCGCAAAAATGCGGCGGGGTTAACCATGTTTTTTGAGATCTCAACCCTCCCCCTATACCTCTAGCCAATGTAGAAAAAACAAACGCAAAACAGTACGCACAGTATAACTCAGTTTAAGAGAAGTCCGAGTCCGATGTCAGAATAGGAAACAAAAGAAAGTAAACAAAATGACAATAATACATTAATAACAACAGACTACTAGCAGTTACTGACATGCCAGCTCCAGACCTCAATTAAACTGATTGAAAGATTATGTCTTCATCATATGAATATCAGGCACAATCCCTCCTGTTAGGGGTTTAGTATTATACCATCATAAAATATATGAGAAGAACATAACCCGTGTCATGCCAACAACTGGTTTTAGAATAAATATGTTTAATTCCGATTCAAAGACCCTATAAGTGAATCAATATTAAAGCCAAAATATGCAATCTTTAATGACCTGGCAACAGTATCGTAACTATATCCCTTCTTAATAAGCCTGTTTAAAGGTTTTGTTAGCTTTTGAGGTGAATACTGACATTTTTGTGCTTTGTAAACAATATTACCATAAAAGATTGGATGTGAAATAACCGAACGTATAAGATGGCTGCATGTTGAGTTGTATTTACGAATGATGTCCTTATACCGATGATAAAATTTAGTAAATGTTTTGACTAGTTTATGATATCGATATAAATATAATACATAAATTTCTCTCGCTAAAATGTAATACGTTGTTACATACTCGAGCGAATCGTACAAGTTGAGATATACGTATTGCAGTATTCTTAATAAAAATCAACTACAAAAATCTACTTCATCTTTTTGTAGACTCGCCAGTCGGCACAGAAGATGATGAAACTCGAATAGTACTTATTGGACGGACAGGCACTGGGAAAAGTGCAACAGGAAATAATCTTTTGGGTCGCGATCATTTCCGATCCCTTACTTCCGGTTCTTCAGTAACAGAAAAATGTAAACGCGGAGAATCAAAACGAAAAGGGAAAAAAGTTGTTGTTGTTGATACACCGGGTTTATTCGACACGGGAGCCACAAATGAAACTGTTACCAGGGAGATAATTAAATGTATCGGAATGACGTCACCAGGACCTCACGCAATGGTCCTTGTTGTTAGTGTTGGTCGATTTACTAAGGAAGAACAAGATACAGTCAAACATTTTGTTGACCATTTTGGTGAAGGTGTTCTTGACCATATGATTGTACTTTTCACCAGAAAGGATGACCTTTCAAAATCGAATCAAACGATTGGCCAATACGTTAAAACTGTCCCGAAAGAACTAAAAACTATACTGAGTCAGTGCGGAAATAGATTCATTGCGTTTAACAATGACGCGGTTGGACAGTCAAAAACAGAGCAAGTTGAGGACTTTTATGAAATGGTAGAGTCGATGTGCAATGACAATGGCGGATCTTGTTATACAAACGAATTATACAAGGAAGCAGAATCCGCACTACAGAGGAGGATGCGTATAGAAAGGGAAGTATTGGAAGAGCAAAAGGAAAAAGAAAAAGAAAAGATAAGAAATGAAGTACAATTTAAATACAAAAGAAAACTTGAACACGAAGCAAAGGAGAAAAGTAAATTGGAAAATGCCTTAAAATCCAAGAAAATAGAATCTGAGAAAGACAAATTAAATCTACAGAAACAACTTGAAGAAGCCGGTCAAAAACTGAAACGGGAGTTAGGGAAAAAGGAAAAGGAATTACGGGAGCAAATAAAGAAAAAGGAAGATGAATTCAAACAAAAAATGACCGAAGATGCGTTAAAAACTAATCAAAGAAATAACGTTGAAAACGAAAAAGGCGATTTTTTTTCTGATCTTATGGGAGGATTAGCTAATGTTGGTAAAAAACTTTTCAAATTATTTTTTTAAATAGGTTGACAGCACAAAATGAATAAAATTCAAATCCAGATTAAATAGAAGTTGTACTTACTTTGTTATCCTTGACTTCATTTCTCCCAGTATACTCCAAGATATCAAAGCTTATATATACATAAAAACCCGCTGCATTTGTTTGCACCTGTCCTAAGTCAGGAATCTGATGTTCAGTAGTTGTCGTTTGTTGATGTGGTTCATAAGTGTTTCTCGTTTCTCGTTTTTTTATATAGATCAGACCGTTGGTTTTCCCGTTTGAATGGATTTACATTATAAAAAAGAAGATGTGGTATGATTGCCAATGAGACAACTCTCCACAAGAGACCAAATGGACACAGAAATTAACAACTATAGGTCACCGTACGGCATTCAACAATGAGCAAAGCCCATACCGCACAGTCAGGGCCGTGACTACATTGAGGCAAATGAGGCAAATGCCTCACATTGGAAATTTAAAAAAAAATAATAAGTTTAGATTAAAGGAAAATAACAAAAATACCGAACTCCAAGGAAAATTTAAAACAGAAAGTCCCTTATCAAATGGCAAAATCAAAAGCTCAAACACATCAAACAAATAGAAAATAACTGTCATATTCCTGACTTGGTACAGGCATTTCCTTATGTAGAAAATGGTAGATTAAACCTGGTTTTATAGCTAGCTAAACCTCTCACTTGTATGACAGTCGCATTAAAGCTTGTCTTCATATCAGATTGTTTTCACGGCAAGTGCCTTGCAAGAAACAAGTTCTGTCACAGACACCCTCTGACATCGCCATTATTTTTTTTTCATGTTTCTCATTTATTTTTAGTTTTCAGTGTTTATTGTTTGTCGTTATGTGTCTTATCTGTTCCCGGGTTTGTCTTTTAATTGTTCATTGATTGTCCTTCTTTATAACTATTGTAGTGTTGAATTTCATTTGTAAATAAGTAATTTTGTTTTAAACTTGAGTTTTATTTTATTTAAGGACCTTTTGTCTATTTAAAAAAAAAACTACTTTAAATTGTAAAAAAATGTGTTGGTTAGTCAATGAAAAGGTATGTACTATGAAACATTGATAATAAAAAAATAAAAAAAAGTATCGAAATAGCATAGTCGAAGTGGTCAGTTAAGACGGGTGAACGGTTGTGTGGTTTGGCAATGTTACATGTCCACCGATGTCCACATATTGTTAGAGAAAATGTTTTGAGAAGATACGAAGCTACCGCACATAGAAAAATTGGTTGTTTTTTCAAGGAAAATTCAACTTTATATTAAAGAATACAAAACTGGCTCTCCTTTCTGTTAAACTAAAAAGCTGACATGGATAAAATTATAGTGAGAAAACCAATGTCCCGGAATCAAATCATTTAAAAAGGAAAATAATGTATTGCCATATGACCTTTTACATTGAAGGGCGTAAACTTGCATCAAGCCGTGTTCATGCCCTTTTATAGAAAAGGGATATGGAGTAAATGTGCATGGAACAAAATCGGACACAATACATAGAAAAAAATACAAACTATCAATGAGGGCTTTTATTCCTGTTCTTAAGTCGCTGGAGGATGTTGAACGAATCATTCATACCCTACTGTAGGGAAGTACAACAAGGTTAAAGTCTTACACTGAATCTATATATTTTGCTTTGAGACCAGAATATTGTTGAAAAAATAATTGAAACAAAACTTGCGTTTCACTTTAAGAGATAGTCCAGGAAACGCTCAGAATGCACGATTTTGCGTAATTTATTCCAGAGCTTCTGGGGGCCTTCAGCGGCACCAGACCCCTCGCCGAAATTTTTTCCGCCTCGCTCCTCTCGGCAGAAATATATATTGCCTCACTTTTAAAAGAGGTTAGTTACAGCCCTGACAGTCAGCTATAAAAGGCCCCGAAATGACAATGTAAAACAATTCAAACGAGAAAACTAACGGCCTAATTTATGTACAAAAAATGAACGAAAAACAAATATGTAACACATAAACAAACGACATTGACTTGATATCTTTTCCCTTTATTTAAAGTAAGTTTGTGTGTCCCGTTGGGAAAGCACTTCCTTTTGGTTGTACATTTTCTGCTTTTTTTCACTTATGAATATAAAACTCCTCAAAATAAATATCTCATTATAATAATTAGATTTGCAGAAAATCTTCATTTTCTTAATTGAATATATCGGACATATAAGACAGATATGTCTACTGTTGATTGTGACGTTGACAGTTTATTATAACCTGTCATGAATAATATCCGAAATAACATGACTTAACAGACAAGCTGAAATATATTTTACTTTTAATCTTCGCAGACCAATCAATCATTCTGGGTGTATGATTACAGTGCTGCTAAAGATAAATATAAAAAAGAAGATGAGGTATGATTGCCAATGAGACAACTCTCCACAAGAGACCAAATGACACAGAAATTAACAACTATAGGTCAACGTACGGCCTTCAACAATGAGCAAAGCCCATACCGCACAGTCAACTATAAAAGGCCCCGAAATGACAATGTAAAACAATTCAAACGAGAAAACTAACGGCCTAATTTATGTACAAAAAATGAACGAAAAACAAATATGTAACACATAAACAAACGACAACCACTGAATTACAGGCTCCTGACTTGGAACAGGCACATACATACAGAATGTGGCGAGGTTAAACATGTTAGCGGGATCCCAACCCTCCCCTAACCTGGGACAGTGGTGTAACAGTACAACATAAGAACGAACTATAAAAATCAGTTGAAAGAGGCTTAACTCATCAGATGGATAAAACTACAAATACTACAAATACAAGTGGACGTGGCCGGGTACTTGTACATCCAAATAAATAAAAGACACTAAGTTCAGATCTGAGAGTACTCGCAGTTACTGACAGCTAGTTAAAAGCCACTAACAACTAATAAAAAAAAATCATGCATCTAAGACTAAATTATCAATCCGAACACATCCAACATCCAATGGATTTAGTGTAAAGACGTCATAAACAGTCAGAGAAAAACATGACCTTGTGCAATGCCAAGATACAGGTATCGACAGATTGTAGATCCATGAATGTGTATATGTATATAACAATAATGTTTAGTTTGCTTTTAATTTACTGATAACAAAATCAATATAAGTACCAATAAAAACAATATTTAATGATCTAATTACAGTACTAGTAATTTTTGGGGACCTTTATAGCTTGCTGTTCGGTGTGAGCCAAGGCTCCGTGTTGAAGACCGTACTTTGACCTATAATGGTTTACTTTTACAAATTGTAACTTGGATGGAGAGTTGTCTCATTGGCACTCATACCATATCTTCTTATATCTATATGTTGTATGAATATGAATAAAATGATACTAAAGTATATCGATGAATTGTTGGCGTTTGACGCCATCCAGAGCAAAACGCCTACATCAACACAATGTCCATGAAACCATTAGATGAAAAGTAATGAATATGAAATTAAAATGAATAAGAAAAAGGGGATGAATCATAAAAAGTAGAATTACTGTTCATGCAAACAGAAGTACACGGAGAGTTTGGAAGAACCAGGACTGACTGAAGACATAGCGAGGACTCTACTTATCCATAGAAACTCGATTAAATTTCTTATCCACTAGGTCCCATTTCGGATATGATATACTGAAATGCAGGGTATATCTATTACCACAAAATACAAAACGAAACGGACGAAACGAATCAAAATACAAAACAAAAAACAAAAACAAAAAAAACCCCAAAGATCATACTATGTATATGCCAATATACAACCTTAAAGGTTAGCTCTCAAATTCATGCTCACCGATTTGACTCAAATTCTCATATTTGATTTATAACATACTAAAAAGATATCCAAATTACAAATAGTCTAAAACAAACATTTATAGTGTGTGATAACATTTTGTGAGGGAATTCGATGTTTGCTATACCATGGTTCACTTTAACGCACTTCATGACCATACCGCTGAATAAATAAGAATGAATCATTTTGCAATATCTTCAAAAATGATTTTGCTATGTATCCGTGTACTATATGTTAATAAATTAACGCTTTAAGAAGGTTAATTTTCTGTTTAAAGTCAATAGTTTTGTTGACTTTTGAAGCCCAAACTTTCTATTGCTTTAAATACACTAATGAGAGATCGAAAAACGATGCCAATACAGACATATAGCTGTTTGAACTTCTAACAAAAAGTTTGGGTGGTGAATGTTTTCTAGTATTAACAATAAATTTTATTAAAAAATCTCTCATTTTCTCCCTACCCAATTTACCGCTAACACTCAATTTGATATGGACTGGTCATTGTTAATAAATCTTACGCAATTCGATTGGATGAAGTTATTATTGTTTCACCACCTGTAATTGTTTACCTGTTCAAATTTGTCCTTGTGTATTCTGTAAGCACACGAAATTTTATTACGTAAAAATAATTATTGTTTATGAAGACAAGGGTGACAACTCTAGATCTGAAGTTAAAAAATCTTTAAGAAATTATAAAATTACTCTTGTTTGTGGATTAACAATTATAGTTATGGTTTGTCTTTAGTTTTCTGTCCTAATATTGTACTAAAAGGTAAAGTCGAATTTGAATTATTATTTTTTTAATGAATAAAATAAAACCAATGTTCTTTAACTAGAGTCTGTATATGTTACAGCCAGTCTTGAGAATAATGGGTAACATCAGTAAAGAAAAAAAACTGTCTTAAAAATTAAAGAATATAGAAATGAAGATCCCCATCCAGACCTTCATACTTAATTATGTCAATAATTCACAATTTAACTTTGCTGGACGTTCTTAATCTGAATGCCTTTAAAGTATAATTATACTAGTATTCTGTATATCTGAAAACTAGTTAATTAGCATTTCTTTTTACTAACACGTGTGGTTCAGTTGGCCATCAAACTGTACACTGGACGAGTTCATGATATTTTTATGAATGAAACAAAACCGGTAGAAAAGGTTTGATTTTGCAATTTTTACTTTTTCACAATTTTTTTGTAATACAGTGAATTTTTACAATATTAAAATTTTGAAAAACTTGACAGATCATGCGTTTTCATTTTTGAAAAATATATCATTTTGAAGAAAAAC